GAAAGAAATACTATTTTTGGTAGCACTGGGGTTTGAACTCGGGGTTTTATGCTTGTTAAGCACTCTTACTTCTTGTGCCACTCTGTTCACCCCTGTGGAAAAATCATTTGGCCTTATATGTGCAGGCTATTTTTGAACTCTATTCTATTCTATTCTGTTTGTCTCTATTTCTCTCTTTATTCCAGTGCTATACTGTTTTGATTATTATAGTTTTGTGGTTAATTTTTAAAATCAGAAAATATGAAGCCTCCAACTTTGTTCCTTTTCAAGATTGTTTTGGCTACTTGGGTTGCCTTGAAGTTCCTTGTGAATTTTAGGGTAGATTTTCCTATTTTGGCAAAAAATATGCCATTGGAGTTTTAATAGTGGCTTCAGTGCATCTGAACAATACAGAAATTATTAAGATGTCTGTATTGACACCTTCATAATATTAAATCTTCCAATTTATGTACATAGGATGACTTTTCATTTATTTGTGTCATTCCTTTCAGCAGTATTTTATAACTTTTAGCATACAAGCCTTTTAGTCTTTTGCTTCCTTGATTAAGTTTATTTCTATTTTATTCTTTTTGATGCTATTATAAGTAGAGTTTCTCTCTCTGTCTCTGTCTCTCTGCTTCAACCCAGGTCCTTGCACATGCTAGGCAAGTACTCTTAACACTGAGATATACCCCCAGACTGAGTTTTTTTCTCAAATCCCTTTTAAGATTATTTATTGTTAGTATCTAGAAACAATTGAATTTTATAAACTGCAACTTTTGTGAATTCACTTACTAGTTCTAATAGATCTTTTTGTAGAATACTTACGGTTCCTACACATAAGATCATATTATTTGCAAACAGATAATTTTACATTTTTCCTTTCCAATTTGGATATCTTTCATTATTTTTTCTTGCATAATTGCTCTAGCTGGAACCTCTAGAACTATGTTGAGTAGAAAAGCAGATCCTGATTTTAGAGGAAAATATTTTGGTCTTTCCCCCATTGAATATGAGTATTACTGATAGTTTTAAAATTTCAATGAAGATGATAAAATTGGAAAATTATTTAACAGTTTCATTTGAAACTAAAAATGTATTTGCTGTAAGACCTAAGAATTTCACTCTTGGACATTTGTCCAGAGGACTGAAAATATATTCATGCAAAAACCTGCACATGAATTTATACCAAGTTTATTTGTAATAGCCTAAAGCTGGAAATACCCAAATGTCTTTATTGAATAAATTGTTAAACAAACTGGTGCATGTATACCATCAGCTATTTATTACTCTGCAAAAAAACATGACCAACAGCTTGGATAAACTGTAAGGATGTCACACTGACTGAAAACACTTGCCTCAAATGGTAGCATAGACCACGATTACATTTAGATTGCATTCTTGAAATAATGAAATTATAGAAATGGAGAAAAGATTAGCAATTACCAGGTGGTTGGGGTGAGGTGTCTGAGGAATATGAAGAAAACTTCTGGCGATAGTGTAGTTCTGTGTTTCAGTTGGGAGTAGTTACGTGAAGCATCATATGGGATAAAGTTGTATAAAAGTTAAAAAGAATGCATGACAAACTGGTGAAATACAAATCATCTGTATGAACTTTACCAATGTTAATTTCCTGTTCGTGATATTGTATTATTGTTGTTCATGAGGTTAGCATTGGGTGTGGCTGCATGAAGCATGCACAGGACATCTCTACTTATGTCTATTCTACACTCAAGTGCCTTTTCCTTGGTTTCTTTTTCTTTTCTTCCTTTCCTTTTCTCCTTCCTCCCCCCTTACTTCCTCCCTTCTTTCCTTCCTTCATTTATTACCAAAGTCAGCATCCTTAAATAGGTTTGTCTTAACTGTTTCTTACAATATCAAATTCTTTGTTTTCCTTCCTTTCTATATTCTATTCTATATTTCTATACTCCTTTCTATATTAGGATTACCTTCTCTTAACAGGTTTGGCTAATTCCCCTAAGAAAACATATGTATTAACAGTTTCATGTATTTATTTTGGATGATCGCTGATAGCTTTATTTTCTTCTTTCACAGATTCTTATAATCTTTAAAACCTTTCTGGTCAGCCTTGGTAAATTCTACCTTCCTAGAAAGTTTTTTCATTCAGGTTTTTAAATTTATTTATGTATGTTTGAGCAAAGGCACTTTATGATCCTTTGAATTTTCTGTTTTCTAAAGTTATTTCACTCATAACTTTTTTAGTTTTGAATATTCTATTTTTTTCTTGATAACAATCTATAATATTTTCCAGGTCAGTTTTGTCTTTTTACTTTTTAGGCCAGTTTAGGATTTACTATTTCCACTGTTTTAAGTTTTTATTCAATCTCTTCCTGTAATTTTATTTGTTTCTTCCTATTTCTTCTTTATAAATTTTTCTTTTTTTTTTTTTTTTTAATTTGTGGTACTAGGGTTTGAACTGAAGGGTGCATGCTTGTTAGGCAGGCACTCTACCACTTGTGCCATTCCTCCAGCCCTTTTTGCTCTGGTTATTTTGGACCAAATGTCTCACTTTTTGCCCAGACAGGCCATCATCCTATTTTACACTTCTTGCCTTAGCTGGGATGACAGCCACATACCATTACCCCCAAAATTTTTACCTTGAGATGAGGTCTCATGAAAGTTGCTTGCCAGAGCTGGCCTAGAACTGCAATCCTCCTCATCTCAGCCTGTAGAGTAGCTGGCATGAGCTACCAATGCCTAGCTTCTTTGTAAATTCTTATCCCAGATAATTAATGCTTTTGTTATTTTTTTGTACTAATTATGGAGTTAGGACTGTTTGTTTTTATTTTTTCTGAGCACATTACTTTAGCTGTTCTCAGATGAGAAAAATATATTTAGCAAAACACATACTAAATTGTGATTCAGGATGCATTGGTTCCATTCTGTTTCTTCTGTATAGAAGTATGATTCAAGTATATCATGTAGTCTTCCTCTTTGGGTTTCAGTCCTTAACTAGAATGTATCTGATTTAATACTTTAATTTGGTTGATTTTGTGAACTACTCTTACTCACCCTCACAAACCCAGCTTTCCACTCCCCAGAATTTGAATTGAGTCCCAGTGTGAACTTTGAAGTTGCAAGCATTTGCTTTTCGTAATAATATGCCAGCAAATCCTGGAACTGTCGTCTTCAGTGGAATAAAAAAAGACTTGCTTCTTTTCATTCTGGGTAAAAAATCTGGGCCTGAACTTCAAGTAAATCCATGGTTTACATAGACATTCTTTACCAACTTAGCCTATTTTCTGAGACCCAATCCGTTATTGACAGTTATCATATAAAGTTCATGAGAAAGCATTATTTTAACATCCTTTGTAATTCTTGAAATAAACACATATTTCCTTAGCAATGAAAAATTCAAGCAAAGTGCAGCCTTTAAAGATTAAGATGAAGGCAAAAGTAACATTATTATACTACAGTAAAACTGCACAAGAGATTTTCTAAGGTCTAAAAGTTACAGAGAAATACATAGTCATGAGAACATTATTAAGCACTGACAGATTCTGTATCCAAGCTTTCCTTAAAAAACAAAAAGAGAATACAAAAAGAAAGCTTACTTAGAGATAATAATAAAAAAAATTGTCAGGGAGTAGGAGCCAGATTGTCACAAAATCCTTAACTCATCCATATTACATAAAATTTACATCTGAAATCTCTGTTCATATTTTAAAATCTCAATGCAACTTAAAATCATGTACTTTGTGGAAGAGTTAATGGCACTACAGCAAAAGGAAATATCTTAAGTTTAGCATGTCCCTGTATGTGTATCTAAACATTAATATGAACCTAATAGATCTTACTTTTAGCTCCAAATGTAGCAAAATCCCAGAAGGAGAATTAGAAGAGAAACACAATAAAATGCTCTTGATTTATACTTTAAGCCTTCCATTTTGTAAAATGTTATTATGTAACAATAGTGATCATTTCCCACTTTGTATAGCCCTATGTAGTCTAAATAAGTCTCTTCTAAGGAGTTTTTCCTCCACATCTCACCCATTTCTAACAATAGGAATGCAGTCCTGGAACCTTAAAAAAATGAACTGATTTTTAGATGCACATAAGGAAAGAGATCAGGAAAAGTAACAATTCTGAAAAATAGGATAAACATATTTAATCTAGTCTTTATTTACCTTTCTAGAAAATAGAAAACTGTATATTGTTTGTTACAATGTACAATGTACAATGTTTGTTACATTCTGTTTAAAGGTTTATGATGTAGCATAATTTCCCTTTTCTTTATCATCAATATTTAACATTAAACAGTCTACCTAACTGAAAACCTTATGTGAAAATACTGAGGTGCTGGTTTGGGAGCACAAAGACATGCACATCACAGTGTTTTGTGTGTTCCTTCATAAGTCAGTAACAGAAGCAAAAAATACATGAAATCTGGCATTCTAAAACTTCTGAAATTCTAGTCAAGCAGTTCTCAGTTATGTGAAGAGACTATTACTTCTCTAAGTGCCACACTGAACTTAGAAATTCTGTAATATGAGGATGCTGGGCAGTAAGTGAAAGATGATGCATGTGCATTTATTTTGTTAGAGCCTGCTTATAGTTTAGGATTTATCACTGTATAAGTGTGGATAAATTAATTGATAATTTTCACCCTATCTTATTCTTCTGTAAAATGGAAGTGATGACACCTACTTGCTACAGTAGTCATAAAGACCAAATGAGAGTGTGTGTAACGGCATCGGGTACATGGTAAGCATTTATGTACCAAATTTTCATTGCTCTTGCAATGATCATCTTTTTAAATTGATCACTGTATAAAAATGGAGAAACTAATGAAAGGATAGAATGTGAACATGCATATGATGATATAAATAAAGTGATTAACCCGGGAAATGAAGTGAATCCAGAAAACATTGAGAATTCCACTAACCTGAATAGCACCAAATCACATACAAAACTAGAATCTCAGACAAAGGATATGGCAGGCGTGTGTCTGTTTCATGTCATGAAGTGGATTTCTAATTATGTTGCCTATGTTATTTCAGAGGCAAAGGCCCACTGAAAAATACATCTGATGTCATTAATGCTGCTAAGAAGATTGCTGAAGCAGGTTCTCGAATGGACAAATTAGCCCGCGCTGTGGCTGATCAGGTAATATAAGAGGAAGAGTAGGCACTTGGTGAGAGGAATCGTTAATTAGCACTTGGGTTCTGGAATCAGTTTTTTGCATATAATAAAATTCTTCTGAAGGATGAATTGCAGGCCAGAAGTGGTGGCTCACACCTGCAATCCCAGCTACTCAGGAAGTAGATATCAGAAAGATCACAGTTTGAGACCAGCCCTGACAAAAATTTAGTGAGACAGCATCTCAACCAATAAGCTGGGAATGGAGGGATATACCTAAGTTCTCAGCTACATGGAAGGATGTAGGTAGCAGGATCACTGTTCAAGGCTGGCCCTGGGCAAAAACATATAAGCCTATCTGAAAAAAAGAAAAAAAAAACTAAAATACTGAAAGCAAAAAAAAATAATAAAATAAAAAGTGATGAGTTCAAATTCCAGTACCAACCTGCATCATAAAAAATTGAGTTGCAGGCAATCACTAGTGTTTTACAGAGTGGTCTCTGCCTCTACTAAGACTGATCTGATGGCAAAGGTGGAATGACCTCAAGAGAGACTCCTAAGGCTTATGACCAAAATTGTTTCAGAAAGAAGACTACCTGAGAAGAAGACTACCTGAGAGTGATGACTACCTGCTACTTAGGAGATGTAGTCCATGAAGAGTCATAGACTATCCCAGTTTTTCCCATACAGAAAATCAATGATGTGCTTGATGGGGGCAAAAGCAGAGAAAGAACTTTTTTCACTCTTGGGGGCTTTGCTTACATACCAGTTTATGAGATTCCCTAACTACAATCTTTCTATTTGTTTTTGTTTTCATAGTACATAAGATTTTAAAGTTACTTTTTATTTAGTACTTTATTTTTTTCTTTTGCCCCCAGAAAAGTTTAAGTTGCATACTTAACTAAGTGCATGAAATGAATGACAAAAAGAATAACAAGTTCTTTTGGGCAGGGAACTGCATTAAAAGAGGTTTTGCAGTGTAATGGATCATGGATTTGATGGTTTGTGTAAGAAGTGAAGACACGGACACTTCCATGATTACAGTGTAAAGGAGGAGGAGGAGACACAGGAGCATGTGATATGAAAAGACAGAAAATGTAATTTGTGTACTCATGGCTTTAACTGTGATAATAAGAGAGCTTACATTTACCTTTTGTTATTTAGTATTGACCTTACTATAGTAGACTTTATAATTCATAATAATTTATGCTCTGCTATCGAGAGCTCCTAAATTTCATCTGGATTTTAACCCAGACTCAAAAACATCAGATGTAAATGAAATTCTCAAAATATCTCCGGTTCTTCATGGCAAACTAGGGTACACATTAAAGGAGTTCTCAATCTCACCTGGAATATTTGAGTTTATTTCAATATTTTTCATTTGACTTGAATGAGAACTCTAAAATCCTCTTATAAATGTCTTGTTACAATATAAAATTTACCAGCTACCTGATGATTAGCACTTTAAGCAATAATTCAGAATAGCGTACAGTTTGAATCATTTCACATAGAATGAATTTATTTTAAAATACAAGTTTCTGAAATGAAAAATATACACATTTTTATTTACATGGAAACACTAAAATGAATGTGAACTTGCTTACTAGACTATGATACAGTGATACTTTCTAGAGATATTAAGATAGAAATGTTTCCTTCTCTGTAGATGCCCCTACTTTCCTGATTTTTGAGTTATGTTGCCTATTATAGTTTTCCTCCCTCATTTCTTAAACTGCTCCAAACACTTTCTATCTTCAACATCCCATGCATGATTTAAACCCAATACCTAATTTATTTACCTTGTAAGGACTAACCTCTTTCCCATGTCATTAAACTAGTAGTAGTTTAGAATAAGAACCAACAGATTTGCATTTTATTTTTTTTTGTGTGTGAATGTTTGAAAACCTGTTAATTAGGTAAAGTATTTCCATAATTTGAGATATCCCCATAATTTGTTGTAGTTGAAAACTAACCCATTGCCATTACTGATTTTGGGGACAGTATCGAGTGCTGTCTACAAAATTCCTGTGAAAGAGGAAGGAGACATGGACCTACTTGAAAATATTCAAACAAACAAAAAAATCACCAGAAAAAACCCCACAGTATTATTTGCAAGTGTTAAGGGAAGTTGAGATATGTGGTGTGGCCAGACTGAAGAGTGACTCAAAAAGACTTCATAGGAAGTATTTCTTGCTGCAAATGAAAACTGAGTGGAATCTGAATGGCCTTTCCACTATTATATTGAATCTCATTGACTGAAAGTGTTTCCTCGGAATGTTTAAGCTCTGGAAGTTCAAAAGTTGTAGTTGTATGCCTCTGATTTTTACATTTTTGGATTTTTATTGTTAGCAATGTAACATGAAGTATAGCCCAAAACAGTTTTAATGTTTGGCAAACACGATACCCATAGACACACACACACAGAGATACACACCAATCCTAGGATTCTAGATTTATTTTGAGAATAAGATGAAATTTAAACCTAACTCACTATAGTATTCTTATTGTCATTAGCTATAAAATACCTTGCAATTACTGGTCATGTTTCCTCTAAACAGAGCATTTCTTTCTTAGATGTTGCATCTATTTCCATGGTACAGGATTTATTTTTTTGGTCTATAATGACCTTTTTAAAATGTGTGTTTTAACTGCTTCAGCTTAAATAATAGAGTAGAATGAGCACTACCAAAGAGTATATTGGTTGCCTTTATTTTACCTAAAGATGTTTTCATGAAGATTTGAGATATGCATGCAATATAAACTTTTTATTAACTGTTGCATTTTTAATTACTCTTCCATTGAGATAGAATACTCAATTTAATTTGCTGAAAGGTATTTGTATCAAAAACCTTGTCAGTCCTCTGGGGAGATATCATTTTGAAGCTAATTCCTTCTAGTATATAGCTCTCTGGAATAGGATAAATATTACAGTATTAAGTACTTGTAGGAAGCTAAAAACTGTCTCTCTTGGATTCTTTCTTGATATTAGTGAAAAAATTACCACAGTGGTGTTATATATAAAAAAAATTCCTATTGTTCATTCAATAAATGGTATGTCCAACTACCAGATCCATACTTTTGTCTCCCATATACTTAGCCTGCATTTTTTGTTTCTTTTGCTGTGCTGAAGGGCTTTACATTGTAGGGAAGCACTCTGTCACTGAGCTACACCCCCTATTCCATACTCTTATTCTAAATAAGGCACTTCAATTTGGCTGTAGATACTTATTTATTACAGTGTGTCATCAGAGTTCTGGTGATTATATGTCCTTTCCAAATGCCAAATTGAGCCAGAACAATTAAATAGTTGGAAACAGTTCAAGCTGAACATTTGATAGCAATAGAAATATATTTCAATTACTCATAGCCATTGGCATTGAAGCCTCAGAAATGTTTCTGGGAGTCACTGAAAATATCTGTAGAAATGTTCAACTAAGCCCTGTGTGTACTTGATGGATATCTACCCACTTTATTTACAATGACAATTTAAACTCCCAGTCAGAGTTGACTCTGCAGCAACCATTGAAGGCCCCTGCTGTTGCTCTTACAAATTTATTTCAACTGGCTTCAAATTTATTCTGTCAAATCCATTTTTCTTACAGTGGTCATGAATCATTTCAAAGTCTTTTATGTAAAGAAAGATTATATTGCTAAAATTTTTGATAAATTCAACTATCTAAGAAGCGTGATTGACTTCTTTTAGCAAATGTGACATTCATTAGAAAATGAAAGGAAACTGAGATTCTGTCCAAGTAATTGGATTGAAACTCTCCCCTGTACTTTGTCAGAGAGATTGCCACCCAGAGCAGTGTACTCCTATCATCCATTGCTTTACCCCTCTGTATTAAAATAACTTTTCATGTAGTGGAGGTTGAAGAAAGCCAGGGGAAAAAATCTGTAGAATATTCAGTTTTCTTAAGAGTTTAGAGGTAACTCATAAAAATATTCATAAACATGTACAGACATCCCTGGTAAGACATTCTACATATTCTTCAATATTCTCTTCATAAAATCTTAAAGTAGAGCTAGCTAGTCCAGACTACTAACAGTGGCCTTTCTCAAATGCATCATGAAAAAGTTGAATGAAATGAATATAATTAAAGAATATGACACTAAAACCTTTTCATCCTGCAGCTTTTATAAAGCAAGTGTTAGAAACTGAAGAGCACTTACTAATTGAGATCACTTTTTTGTTTTATAGTGTCCTGATTCAGCATGTAAGCAGGATTTATTAGCCTACCTTCAGCGAATTGCCTTGTATTGCCATCAGCTTAATATCTGCAGCAAGGTGAAGGCAGAAGTGCAGAATCTGGGAGGAGAGCTCATTGTGTCAGGGGTAAGCTGTGACTTGGGTTTCACAATTTAAACTACCTACTGTTACACTTCCAAGGCAAGCTTACTTGGCAACAATACTGATAAAAACACCAAAGTACAATGCTTCATAGGGAGTTTTTTCTTAAATAAATGTTATCACGATTATTCCAGACCTTACAATAGCTCACAAAGAGCAATTTGATTTTCCAATTACCCTGTGTTTATACTAACCTTGTAAAATCTCCATTCTTCACAAGAAAACTAATTTCATAGTCTGGAAACTCATTGCCAAGCTGTGACTATTATAATTATTTGGGGCTTTTGTATATTTATGCATTGTGAGTCTACTTTCCTTTGTTAGTCCTGGTAATTTTTATTCTCTGTTCAGGAGCCAGCCTCTCTATATGTGGATTGTGTTCACATGTTAGAGATGACAAAAACAATAGAAGTCCATTCATCAGGTTCCAATGCATACTAGGTTATCAGTAACCCTTCAAAGCCAGATGATGTTTGATTTTAATACAGGTTGATGTGCTGTTGCTAAAACCTCACATAGTTGTAAGACACTAACAATTATATGAGCTTTGCTAACTCACTCTAATATTTCCCTTCTCATAAAAATAAACCATTTCCATCAAATGTATAGAAATAACTAGTTCAATGGATATTTAGAAGAATCATGATTTCTTGGCAAGATTTCCAAATGTATGTGTTGAGGTTCTTTACCTTGGCTTCTTCTCCTTCATCCCTTTTCTCTCAAAACAGGGTGCCATTATTGTAAATGATTTGCAAGATCAGAAGTGTGGCTCTGCCACCTTTAGTTCTTTTCCCAGTCAGTTGTTATGATGCCATTTTAAGTGTGGAGATGATAAGAACATAACATTATCAACATGGTGAATATGGAAATCAGATGAGTCACAAAGCTCAATTCTTTCTGAAACCATTTTTGGAAATTCAGCAATTTGACCATTTGGTAAAAATAAGTAGAAAAGTCATAAAGTTGTTTTTGAACCCAAATATTTCTATTGCTATATTGTTTGACTTACAGAAAACATAGCTGGGAAAAGAACTGATCTGGCTTGCCTAGAAATACCATCTGGAAAACCCGTTCCATGAAGTCCTACCTTAATACTCAATAAATTGGCTATTTTGTGCCTCTTCCCAAGCACAGTCACCTCTTTGCATTTCCAAAATGATCCTGCTTCAACATTCTTCCACAACCAAGAGCAATCTGTCTTGCAATGTATCCTTTCTGCAAGATAGTAATTACCAATATTCTCTCACCAGGAAGAGATCAAAACATTGCATCTCCCTTGCTTCCTTTCTTATCTTCAGCCTTGATGGTATAGTTTCCCATACCACTCAGCTTTCATGTCCATCTGTATACAGCACCTGTCGAACTGAGTGCTTTTTGTTCAGCTTGCCTTGTGTGCTTTCGTTTTTTACTTTCCAAATCTTATTATTTACATGGATGTACAAAGCATCCTTGTGGATCTGAGACTCCATGACCTCATCTGTGTGATATTTTACTGGTAGAGCTGCTCTCCATCACCCTCTCAGTATTCATTGTCCATCACTGCCTCCAGAGCTTCATTTCCATTGTCTTTTCCTCATTTAGATGTAGTCCAAACCATCACTGGCTTTTATGCACTGTTGGCATTTGCGGAGGTGTTCAAGACTGAGAACACCATCCAGAAGCCTGTTTCCTTCTTTGAGTCTTATTGGCAAAGTTCATAAGTGCTTGCATGGAAGAAGGCTTCTTTTAGAGGAATGTTATACAACTTTATAATAATTCTGAGTCAAATGCTTTATGGAAGCTTGCTGTCATTTTGCTCAGTTTTGGGCCTGCTCTTGGTCTTCTCATGATTTTTTTCCAAGCTTGACTGCTGTGTGGTGCCACACCTGCATCTGTAGCTTGCTGTCTTTTCCACTTCTGCTTCCATCAGACTCTTCATCCTCCTTCACTGTTGGCCAATGTAGAAAAAAATCAATACACTTATTGTGCAAAATAGCCACAAATGATTATTTTCAAAATTCTGAAAGTCAAAAATGTGAGACCCCCGTACTTACAAATTTTCAATGATTTTGCCAAGAAAATTGCACCCATGCTTTGGACCCCATTTATTATAATGTACATTGTGAGAAAGTTGCTATATTTTTGAGGAGAAGCCATTGTAGACTCATATGTAATCAAGAAAAAGAGATACTTGAATCTTCCTTACTTTTTCTACATGTGTTTATATGCTTAGGATTAAAAATTTTGGTTTCTTCTCTGAAATATATGAAAAGTCACCAGGAAAGTGATATTTGTTAGAAGTCAACCTCTCAATTAAAATAACCAAGAGTCAGATGTATTTCCATTTGTCAAGAAAAATTATTTGAGTTTGAAAGCACAGAACCATGTTATTCTAGTCATCTACTGGCATGTCAGACGTATGTTAAACAAAGTGCACGCTTATGCACCATGTCAGCTAATTTATGTTTTATGTGATTTTCTGTATAGAAAATGGAAAAGCCTGTTGTATTGTGTGTAGCTTGGCCAGTGGAGATGGAAGCTCAATAGATCATGGGGTGCAAAAGCTGTCATGAGTCATGATGGGAAATTAGAGGAATAAAGCAGTCCAGGATGTGTGTCTGTGTATGCTCATTCACACACTGCTCTCTGTAAAGCACCACTACTCTTCTGGCTGAAAACTGATTTTATAAACTGTTAGTTTAGAACATTCTCAACAGCCCAGAGGTGTCATTTTTATAGATGATGCTTTGTAAGCCAATTAATTCAATTTATTTATAAAGGTGACAAGTTGGCAAAAGTTTTTAAATAATGGAATAATAGAAATGTTAGAGTGAAAATAAAAGAAATGAGTTTCAGAAGATTAAATAGCCAATTGGTCTATAAACTAGCTTTATGTGTTTGCTTAATTTAGTATTTGTTTAAAGTCTTAAGCCCATTTATAAAAAGAAGGAGGCATGAAGGGAGAAGTGAAAGGGAAGACAAAGAAAAATGAAACTTAACCATATTATATTAAAAATTAGGTAAATGTTCATCACATGTGACATAGGAAAAAAGTTGAGCCATGCTTTTTAAAAATATAAATACTATTTTGAATATAAATGAGTTCTAATACTATGATGTAATTACCTGCATATTTAATACTCTTATTTCTGATTAATTTTTACTCACTAGGATTCAGAGGATTTAATGAGTACTTCTAAAGTTAAAAATGGAGATATACACATGGATCTGGAGAAATAAGTCATTCCATGAGCAATCTTTAATTTTTCTACTCAAAGATTTATACTTTTTGTATTGTTCTGAGATAGGAAACACTTATGTAGGGTTTTATAATTATGCAATTTACCAAGCTTCAAACATTCCAATAAAACTGGCAGAAGTTCCCTAAAACTTTTTTAAAAGTTCAGATACATCAGGAGTGCCATTATAATAATGAAGCCAGAACCCAAGAGCAATAATTTTTTCTGGATAGGAATTTAGTGTTCAAGTTGAGATGGTGAAACTTATTTTAACTTCTAGCTGACTGAACATGAAAAAAGTATGAATTTTAATAGAACTTATTACATTTGTTTTTCTTCATGTGAACAAAATATCTGAACAGAATTTGAAGATGAAGATAGTTGGGTAAATCCTCAGGCTGAGTGAATGGAGCTCTGATGTTCCTGAGGAATTAACTTACCTTAATATGCAATTTTGTCCTTTGTCATTTAAATCTCCCCTTACCAAATTTGAGTCTTCTCAATTCAGATTAAGAGAGAAGTTTGACAGGGTGAGCAAGTATAATTTTTGACAGTGGTAAAATCTGAATTGGTAAAGAGAAAGCTGGAAAATAAGGGATCAATTACCGGTCATTTTTTTGGCCCATGTTTTTTATCAGTTAAAAATTGGACTTTATTAAAATCAACATGAATGCTCCTGGTGATAAATGAAATCTTTTTTGATGAAAAAATATTTCTAAAAATATTAGAAGGTAACCATTTCAAGTCACTCCTGATACTGGCATATAGTCAAACATACATATGTACCCATGTTCATATAATAAACATACTTCATTTGACATTTCCTCTCTTACTCCCCCTATATGTTGAATGATTGGTCTGTGTGATTTATCTGAGCTAATGCAATTTAGGGAAAAGAAAATTTGGGATATATCTGTACACTGTAATATATATTTATGTACTGTTGAGGTGAGAATTACACTTTTATCTGAACAATTTTTATTCTCTGAATACAATAAAATGTCAATATTTTGTAATGGGATTAAGTAGTCATTAAAACAAGCGTTATCTCTAATTGTGCAGACCTGTACTTTAAATACCCCCTTTTTGGTGTTTTTAAAGTATCTTCTGATTCTGTCTATAGTCAATTCTTGAGTATTACCACTGATCAAAGTATAACAGTAATGGAGAAAATCTGAATTGGTGCTAGTTCAATTTAGGTTTGGAATACATTTCTGTGTTTCATTTAAATAAAAGGCTATGTGTTTAAGAAATTCACAGCAGTTCAAAAGAATTTTATTCCAATCTTCCAGAGGGTGGGTCATTAAGTACTCAGGCTTAAAGGATGTTTACTTATCTAGGAAGAATTGGAGTGTCCAGATCTAGACATAGTAAAATAAAACAAATATCATACTGTAAGTCTGGATAGAAGGATAGTAGAGATAGTCTGTGAAACTAAGAAAAGGAAAACATATTTATCCTTTACATAATGGTAGCAGTTGTGTTTTTGCCCAGATTTTCTTAGTAAGATGGGTTTTTGCATGATTTAACCTTTCTCCCAAGAGCCTCCGCTTCCATGGTGTTATCATAGTAAAACTATAAACACTTAAATTCTGATTCCTTCATTAAGTTTGCCATAGTTGTAATCATATCAGTGCATGTGATCATTGATTTTTACACAAGCCCTCCAAGGGAAATCATTAAGTAGTGTTTCAGTGAAAATTAATTTCCAATGCTACAAAAGTGACATTTAACCAATTCAAAACTATTATTTTTAGAAGAAGTGAG